ATTCTTGATCAAGAATTAATAAAACACCATTTTTTAATTACTGTAATAGGAGAAACAACACCCAAATAACTGATAACAGCCCGCCTAGGTCTTCCAAAGAACACAGAAAACAGAATTCTGAATGAAACCAGTTCAAATTCTGATCTGAAACAAATAACAGTTCTGAATTTTAGGGTTTTCTCTCAAAACCCTAAAGAAAAACACAAAAATTCTGAAGCCGCACCTCTCAGACTAAACCAAGATGATCTTTTCTAAACAGAATCACAAGAAAAAGCTTACTTTATGAAAAAATCTCTGGCCGCCACCTCCTGGTTAATGCAAAACCCCAATCTTGAGGATCCGAAGCTTCTTTTGATTCTTCCTGACTACTGGAACTCTCTCAGACTTCTACAATCTCTTTAGTAGCAGCCGCACACTACCAGTAACCTCCAAGAATCAGCCGATCCTCCTTCCTTGTTGAAAAACTTCCAAACCTAGGAGGTTCTCATGCAGTCGGCCTAATCAGACTAGCATAAGAGCTCCTAGGTCGGCCCTGATACCAAGTAGTCGATTTAGACTACAATCAGTCTTGAATTAAAAAGAAAAAAGGATGAAAATTGAAGAGAAGAAGAAGAGAAGAGAGGAAGAGAAGAAGTACACGAAGAGAGTTTCAGAAAAGAGGGAGAGGTCATAATTTCTGCCGACCCTCTCTTAGTATTTATATAACTATAGGCTAACTGTAAAAGGGCTGAATTGCCCTTATTGTTTACATGGCAAATAGAACAAGAAATAATTAATAATAAAGCTGAAATAACTACTGACTAACACTGTCATATCTAACAGAAATATTGCTGCCATACGAACACTGTGGGAACCACATCAGTGGGGTCCACATCAGTGTTCTCTACAAAAACAAAAACGAAATGATTGGCATTATAAAAAATCATGGGGAGTGGGGATTCCCGTGTGGACAGGGATGGGGATAACCTTGTCCCTCCCCGTCCCCGCCCCGCTCCATTGCCATTCCTAGTAGTTCAAGAAATTCCAGTTTACATGATTGTAAGCCTTCTCCATATCCACCTTACACAACAATCCCACGGGCCCACTTCTTCTCGAGTCTATTTCTTTGTTAGCCCCATCTACTAACATCCTTCCCCTTATGAATGCACCTTGAGATTCAGCAATCAGTTTTCAAATCACTTTAGCCATTCTGTTAGCCAAAAGTTTAGCTAAAATCTTATATAAGCTGCTGACAAGGCTAATTGGTCTGAAATCAGACAGCCTTACTGCTCCTTTATTCTTTGGGATTGGAGTAATGAACGTGTGTTTTAGGCTTTTTACCAGAGCACCTGTCATGAAACCCTCTTAAAACATTTAGAACATCTTGCTTCACAATTTCCCAACATGTCCCTTGGTAACTGGGTGAGAATTTTCTAATAGGCTTTCCCAAGGAAAACAAGGTTCAAGCATTCAGTATAATTTCAGTATGATATTTCTACTCCGAGTTAGACAATTTTCTGATATATAATCTCAGAAACCACTGTGGGATGTTTCTTTGGGGGTTGGAGGGTGGGGGCTCAGGATGATATTTTTTTTAACCGATAAGTGGAGCTCAGGGTAATCTTAATTTGCTTAATATTGTTAGAATATAATATAGGGGGCACACCTTTTAATGTATCTCCCTCAACTTTGACCTAATTATGCTATCCATGTGATCCATCTTAATCTGTTGGACAATCAACAAATACATGGTGAATAGTTTAAAAGAGAAATATTCATAAAAAAGAAGTCTAAAAGAGAATTCTATAGATTAGATGCTTGAGATCATGAAATTAGATTTATTTATTTATTTATTTATTTTTTGTATAGAAGATCTCTTAGGGAGGACATTCCACTGTTTCTACATATCATGGGCAAATACCAACTTATTTTATGGTATATAAAACAAAAGTGGATTCGTTCTTATTCTTGCCATATGGCATTTTCTTTGATTGACAGAGGGAAGCTCGATTGGAGCGCAACAGGAAAAAATCTTTCTTCTCATGAAACCTTGTATGGGAACCCATGGTCACACAGTAAAGGTATAAGGAACTTGTTGGATCCTCCTCTTTGACTTAGTGACTTCTTTGTCATGCAGCACAAGAGCTTCGATTGAACTTCTATACTAAGGTCATGTTTTCAATAATGGCTGAAATAGGAACTGAAAGCAGGATCTGGAAAACATTTCAAACTTAAATATGACCTAAACCAGGAATATTGTTGGTATATTGATAACCTTTTTTAGGGGTAAAATAATCACCTCAACGTCTGCTTTATCATTCAGCAATTATGTAGATTTTGAGTTGCTAAAATGCTGGATTGTAACATTTATAAATTTGGAAAATTTTCCACCATTCCACATTTTTTCCTATTTAATGATTATCAAACACTACCCAAGATCTTTGTATTTTTTTTTTTTGTGTTTTTTTTTTTCAAGAGAAAGCACTCATGCTCTCGCTGTTCTAATCTCACGAAGTATTCATTGTACTTCTCTATGTATGTTGTCTTGGTATACAGGATGGAGTTAACATGGTTAATACAGTTAAAAGACATTACTCAATATCTCATTTTGGTGTTGTAGGAATTAACCTCAAATTCCAATTATTAGAAGCAGCGAGTGTTTCCTCTCCTACAGTCCTACGAGATGATATGACAGAATGATATTTATTCTGTGGTACCTGCAATACTGTTAAATACTGTTTGGTGACTGCATATTGCAATCAGCTTGCCATTCGTCATTTTTCAAGGTGTTGTTCACTGCTGAAGGTAGCAATGTAGCATTTTAGCAGTAAGAGAAACAAATTTGCCATATCTCTGTTATTGCCGTTGATGAAAACTTGTATGTTATTGATATATATTTAACAAACAAATTCAGTCTTGCATTGGCAAAGGCATATTTGTTTCTCGCTCTCTTTTTGCTACTTTCAGCAGTGAACGGGCACTTGAAATGAACGTCTAATTTCAGCATTTAAGTAATTTTATGGTTGCCACTGCCTCCTAAGTGATAAATTAGAAGAGACCTGCTCAGTGTATGGGTTGGTATTATAAAGATGCCTATGTTTTATAGGGGGAGTGATTACATTGTTTCCTAAGACGAACAAAAAAGGTGAATTTAAATAGTCATATGTTTGATTTTTTTAATTTTTTAGGGAAAATTCCACTTTAATAATCTGAACTTTGGGAATGGTGTCAAGTTAGTACCCAAACTTTCAAAATTGCCACTGTAGTACCCAAAATTTCAAAAAGTGTCAAGTTGGTCACTGCCATCTCTCATCTCTCGTTGTCTCTATTTCTCCACCATCACGAAATCCACTGTTCACCTTCTTCGAGCTCTTGAAAGTTTAATAACCAGCGGCAGCTGCAAGTTCTGGTCCCGAACTCCTTTCCCCATCTTTTCTCTCATTCTTTCATTATATTTGCCACTCCCCCTCTCTCTCGTACCTCTCATTTCTCTCTCCTCCAAAGTTTTTACAATTCATCGTCTTCCTTCAGATGAGAACAAGAACCAGCAATGGCCACCACCTCCATTCACACAATCTTGCACATTGATTCTACCCGTTTTTTTGCCTTTCTTTTCGTTTTTCCATTTTCCTACTTCCCTCCATCTTTCCATTTTCCCTGAAGAGAGGCACTATTCATTGTCGTCCTCTGTAGAACAGAGGACATTTACAGCGGTGGTGCCTGGAATGTTTTCTTCATTTTTCATATTGTTTCTCATCGCAATGTCCTCATCATCTCTTGCCATCTCTCTGCCTCACCATCAGAATCCAACCTTCCTATCACTATTTTCACTCCTAACACGCTACTGGAATTGAACCAGTCCGACGGTCTTTCTCTTAGCCCACCTCTCTCTCTTTCTCTCTCTCTCTAAATTATCCCCGACTCTCCTGTTCGCTATGGCCTAAGACTGTTAACGAAGAGCATCGCCACCCTAGCCCGAATACCTGTGTTCACAACCGAACCATGCTGCTGCTACCATGTTTCACGATCTGATGATAGTACATCTTCTCCTCCATTCATTCCCGAAGTCACAATTCATCACCACCATTGTTTATAATTTTTTTAGACGTGCATAGGGCTCTTTAGCAGCAATGCGAATCAACGTTTTTTCTCCTATGTTTGCAATGATTTCTCACCGTTTCTGAAGATCCTCCCCATTTCTCACCATCTATTTTTCCTTCATCACCTTTCTAACCCTCTATCTTATATGCACGATTCCCCTGTTTTCTTGTATCTCTTCGCCATGCTTCCTCCTGTAATGAACGAGAAAACAGAGTACCGTTCCCATTGCTGAATGAAATTCCCAGCGGTACCACCTTTAGAGGTCGGATAGTTCAGATCGTCACCCATCTCATTTTCATTGAAACAAAGAAAGTTTTTGTGGAATCGTTGACAGCATGCATTATAGATGCATCAATTCTCAAGTCATGGTTAGGACTTGGGAAATACTGGGTTTGAGTCATTTTCTTTCCCCAGGAACTAACTGAATTGATACTAATCATAAGAAAATTAGATGATAGGTGAAGGGCATTTTTGTCTTTTTACATGATACTTAACATCCCTAATGTTTTTGGACCAATTAGACAATTTTTGAAAGTTTGGATACTACTGTGACATGTTTGAAAGTTTGGGGTACTAAATTGACATTACCCTCAAAGTTTAGGGTACTAAAGTGGAATTTCCCTTTTTAATTCAAAAACCAAAAATCAAACAATTCAGAGTGGTTGGGAAATAAAATGAAGAAGAGAGAGAATAGTTATGTGAAAAAAAAAAAGATTAGTTTATGTGAACAATTGCACCTCTAAGTATATAGTATGTAGAATAAGATTAGAGGTTGATTGGTACTATGGCCATTTATTGAAAAAATGTTTTGTATGGAATTTGTCTTGAAAAACGAGAATAAATATTTATGTTGTTTGACAGTTAAGTGCCATTAAATGCCATTTAGCACCACATAAACTAAACATTAAATAATTGATTGGGTGTTGGAGAAAACATTAAAAATAGTGCTTCCCCCAACGGTTAGCTCTCACACAAACTGAGACAAATGTTTATGTAATAAATATCTTATCAAATAACATATATATCTTATCAAATAAATAACAACATAACTGAACACCGTCTAAAAGAGATTCGTGTAATGTATGGACTAGTGTTAAAAGATGTTCCATGTTGTATAGGGGAGTGGTTGTAAGAAGAGCATAGATATTAAAGTTGAATCAACTTGATCCAATGACCAACCCGGATCACCAAGCAATAAATTAATTAGAACAATTTATAATAGTAGTTTGATAGCTACCACCTTAGGGGATGTTTGGAACCATGGCCATTTTTCAAAAAAACGGTGTCACGTCGGATCTACATAGGCGTTTCAACAAATGCCCATATCTATGAATGTTTGGTTCAGACATTTATTGAAAAATCGGGCATGCCTCGTAAATTGGGACCCCACCGATGTATGAAATGCCAAATTTGGTGTTTCATGCATTAGTGAACCATTGTTACCAACAGTTGACTGATGTGTATCCTATGTGGTGCTTACCTGTCAGCATATACATGAAAAACGGTGATGAAAATCACCTTACCAAATAGCATAGTATTACTCACTGCTTACGTGGCAGAAGTGTTTTTATTTTTTTTGTGAAAAATGGGTCTTGGAAGCATGGGCATTTTTTTCTTGAAAATTGGTCCCAAAAAGTGCCTATGCTTGCAAACACCTACTTAGTTAACGTGGCATAGAACACTCTAGAAACCTTTCATTAAGAAGAAAAACATAAATAATAGTCTTGGAATTTATAAGCTAAAAACTAAAAACTGATGCAAAGTCTACATCACCATCCTCCTCTCTCCTTTTCCCTCTAAAGGAGGCCACATCATTATGATTTCCACTTTATTTATACTTAACAAGCAACCTCATCTTCTCTAGGTTTAAAAAACCCAACTTCTCATTGTGGACTGAAGTCATTCCTCTCGTAGGGGTGTGTGGGATCTTTCTTCGGGTTATAACAGTTAAGGCAACTTTAGAGTCTTAATATCACTAAAGTAATACTTTTAAAAATAAATTTACTTTTGCGGTCTCCATTCAAATACCTGAAGCTCTCCTTGTATTTCTTAAGTGCTAAGGCGTTCCAAGTTACGACTTCTCTCTGAAGGTGGTGGTTCTTATTTCTGAGATGGAAAAGAAGCAGCTTCGATGGACTCGTGGGAATTACATAGGGAAAGGTTCATTTGGAATCGTTAGCCTCACCACCGATGAGTCTGACGGTCGCATTTTCGCGGTAAAGACCGTCGATCCCAATTCGTTTGTCCCTTCTCACCTCGAATCATTAGAGAACGAGATTCGGGTTCTGAAATCACTGTCCTCGCCTTACGTGGTGGAGTACCTCGGTGACGACCCGACGCAGGAGACTGCGACCACATGGTACCGGAATTTACACATGGAGTATTTGCCCGGAGGTACCATTCTTGATTTGTCCACTTAATTTGGCGGGAAGGGTACTGATGTAGGCGAGCGCATTGTACAGTCCTACACTTGGTGCATCGTCTCTGCTTTGTGGTACGTATACGCCAGGGGCATCGTCCACTGCGACGTGAAGGGTAGGAATGTTCTGGTGAGTTCGACGCCCTTGTCGATTTTGGGTCCGCCAAGCGAATCTTCGGCGGAGGAGAAAATACGAGGAGGGGATGATATTGCCTCGTGGAACGCCACTCTAGATGGCGCCAGAGGTAATATCGGACGGGAGCGGCAAGGGCCAGAAGCTGATGTCTGGTCGTTGGGTTGCACGGTAATTGAGATGATCACTGGCAAGCCAGCATGGCAAGATTGCGGTGGTGCCACTACAACGATGTGTCGGATCGGTTTCTCCAATGAACTGCCAGATTTTCCAGCTCAATTGTCGGATCGGTTTCTCCAATGAACTGCCAGACTAGGTGCATACTCTTCTTAATCAAAAAAAAAAAGTAGATTTAGTGGGGCATGAGTTAACGGAGTTCATTCAATCTCTATGGCAAAACCCAAACGATTTGGGGCAAGTAAACTCAACGAACTTGGTCTTGGTCCCCAAGAAAGATCAAGTGGAGTGAACTTGTGATTTCAAACCGATTGGGTGCAGCAAGATTATTGCAAAAATTTTGGTTCCTAGGCTCAATGCTCTCCTCCCTTCTTTAATCACACCCCTTCAGAACGCATTTGTACTGGGGAGACAAATCAGGGATTGTGGCAAAGATAGTTCACTTAATGAGAAAGAAAAAGGGGTAGGTATGTCAATTTCATTTTGAAATTAAGGCCCTGTTTGGTTCGTAAGAATAGGGGTTTAGAATCGGAATCGGAATGGGCTATTCCGATTGTTTGATTGGGTGCAATCAAAATCTCATTCTCATTCCTTTTGGAATAATAGTATTTTCCCATTTGAGGAAATGGTCAATCCCTGTTCCTTCCTTGGGAATGAAATCTCATTCCTGGTGATTTTTCATTCTCATTATTGTCTGAATCAAACACTATAGGAATAGATCATTCAAATTCCAATTCTGACTGTAAACCAAACAGACCCTAAATTTGTGAAAACATGTGATAAAATGGAATGAAATTACATAATTTTTTCTCCCTTGAGAGGTCTTAGATAGGGCTGCCCATTTTTGCCCTACTTGTTCATTCTAGGTATGGATGTTCTCTCGAGACAACTCCTAGCAGCTTTAGAGAGTAAAACCTTGCAAGGAATCTCCTTTGGTGGTGGAAATTGTAAAATAAATGACCTGGTGTTTGTAGATGATATACTCATTTTTGGTAAATGCTCCCTCAAGAAACTAAATAGGTGAAAAATATTTTGAATTAATTTGGCGGTTGGTCGGGTCAGGAGGTGTAAGCCCTCAATGTTCTTTAGTAAAAATACTGATAGAAAGATACAAAGAATTCTCATTAAGGACTTGGGTTTGGGTGTAAGGAGAATGGCAAAAAATGAGTAGTACTTGGGTTGTTTATTACTTGGCTTAAAGGGAGGGAAAGAAGGAAAGATTTTACAAAGCTGGAAGGGGCACTTTCTCTCACATGCAGGATGAACTGTTCTTTTGAAAACACACCTTTACCCCAATCAGATTTGCACTCAAATTAATGCATTAGGAGGAGCATGCTTTCTTATAGAGAGGATATCAAAATTAAATCCTTAGGCTCAGTTTGGAAGGAGTACAAATACATATTTGTAGAGTATAAAACCTTGTATTTTGTATATATTTGTACTGTACATATTCCTTCCAAACTGATCACTATAGACAATTAGGTTCAGTTTGGAAGGAATACAAATACAAATATATACAGTGCAAATACATACAAAATAATATAAAATACAAGATATATGTTTGGCATCGATGCTGTAGTTGAGAAAACGATGCCTTTATTTTTGTTTGGAAACGTTGTTGCCAAATAGGAACGTTTTTTGGAGCAACAACAACTTTTTGGTACCAATGGGAAACGTTTTCAGCACTGATACCCATTATCTAGTGCCACATCACTGCCCTGTTGGCAGCAACGAGCTTCAACTCCAGGAAATGTCAAATTTGGCATTGCTCCAAGCCATGGCTTCCCGATTTTCAAGGTATGGCTTAGAGCACCATTTTTTTATAAAAAAACGATTCCAAACAAATGCCCGTTTCCTGGATCTCTGTTTTTTTTTTTTAATTTGGCACTGATGTAGCACCGTTACTCCAGGAAATGACAAATGCCAAACAGCCGCAAGGTTTTTGCACTCTATAAATTTGCATTTATACTTCTTCCAAACTAAGCCTTAGTAACTAATGACAGGTGGATGCTTAATAGACCCTTGATCCTTAGGACTCCAAAGGAGAGAGTACTGGTAATAAGACTGTAGGAGCTTGCAAAAGAGTGGGAGAGTTCATAGATATAAATGACAGATGAAAGGAAAATGACCTAAAAGATTGTTTTGAAGAGATGGAGTGCAATTCCATTCTTCAGATTCAGATCCCATTTACTCATAATAATGTCAAAGATAAGCTGATTTAGATTGGCTCTAGTAATAGAATCTTAACTACAACAGAGGGTTATAAAGAGTTGAGGTCGCTTGAAGCCCAACCTTCCTCGACTAGCAATGCTTTTGGAACAACAACCTAGAATCAATTATGAGAATAAAGAACATCCCGCACAAGGATTCACATATTTCTTCGGCGATGCCTACGTAAATTGCTTCCTACAAGAAATCAATTAGTCAAAAGGTCAAGAAAGATATAGCATGGTTTTTTAAACCGGACAGGATAGGGAGCCGTTCTGGAGTTTGGTTTTTGGATCGAACGGTCTGACCGTTCAATCCGAATAAACAATCCACTTTGACAGAAAAAATTAAAAAAACTCAAAAAATAGCCAAAACCATTCCCGGGTTGAACAGTTCGATGGTCCAATCACCTGAGTCAGTGGTTCACTGACCAAATCAATGATTTTTGGTTAAAAAGTGGTTTTGGGGGTTAAATAGAATTGATTCTTGGTTTTTATGATCCAACCATCCGGTCTTTTTCGGTTTTGAAAACATTGGTCCCAAGAGCTGTTTGGTTCGAGAGTGTTATGGGTTTCAGAACAAATGATGAGAGTTCATTTAGTAGTTTGGAATTTGGGTCCAATTGGATGACATGTTTGATTACGTCACGGGATCTGTTCCTCACAAATGGGCGCCTCACAGGCATGTCCACCCTACATTGGGAACATCTCCCATAAATATTCACTAATAAGTACGAGAAATGTTCCTAATGCATGGTAGGATGTGCGTATGAGACGCCAAGTGTGAGGAACAGATTCGGTCTCCTACAAGACTGTGCCTTGTCATCCAAACAGTTGACGTGGCAAGTTTCGTAGAATAGCATCGGAATAGATCGAGATCAAATCAGTCTCCACAAAGACTGTGCCCCACAATATCCTACAGCACATCCTGCCGTTTATTGAGAATGTCTCCTAATAATAATATAAAAAATGATATATCCCTAGATTTTGCCAATACACGGCGGGGATGTGCGGACGTTGTGGGGGCTGATTTGAAATCGCATAGTTGCTTTAGCACTAAACACTGCCTGGACGACCCCAACTGATAAATCTGCTCCTGACAGAAGAGAAGGATTCCCAGACGGAGCAGATTGGGAGCTTCCTTACGTGACATATCCTATTTTTGCCACGTTGCAAGAATTTATGACCAGTGATCAAACAGAGAGCATTAGGTCGGAAGTCAGATCGGGCGACCAGCCATCTCTACTCAATTCTTTCGTCCAGAATTCAAGATGTGAGTCACTTATTCCTCCTTGTATAGCCGTATAGGGTTTTCCAACTTTTCTGAAATTCGATAATTCGACATCTTTCTCACGGTTTCCCTCCTTGTCTAATCGGTGGAGTCAAAAGCTCATCTTCGAATTCGACTCACCTATTGAACTCGTCGTAGAACGGGTCGACTTCGCGTCACGTTTTTCTCACGATATAAATGCTCGCGTTCTGTTACACAGATCGACCGTATCGATTCGGCCTCTCTCCTTCGTAGATATCGTACACTGAGTGGAAAATGGATTTTTCGGAACAAGACGCGGATTTATTTGGTGAAGAGTTCGAACAGGACGACGAGAAGGAGAAGGACGAAGAAGAGAGCCACGATTCTTCTTCTTCTTCGTCCTCGTCTGCCTCTTCCTCCTCTAATGGCAGTGGCGGGGAGACTAGTAGCGGTAGCGGCAGCGGTAGCGCTAGCAGCAGCGATGGGGAAGAGGAAGAAGACGACGCTGACACGGAGAAGGCAAGTGGGTCCGATGAAAAGGATCTCTTCGGTTCCGACAATGAAGACTACTGCAGAACTCTAGCATCAAGTCGTTACCCGGTGCCCGGTAAGCTTTTGCTTGATGGGTTTCTCTAATTTCAATTGTTTGATTGCTCGGATTGATTTATAGTGAACTTTGAAGCGCGCTCAGTTTTTTTTTTTTTTTCTCTTTCTGGGTTTGGGATTCTCTTTGTTTATCCCTATGTTTTTGGTTGCTACTGTTCGTTTATTTGGGATGGATTATCGTTTCTTCTCTGTGCTACTTAATTTTTGATGGTTGAAGCTTAATTTGATATTCTAGCCAACTCCATAAGGTCGTATTGAAGTGAAAAATCGTGTTTTTAACTTTAAGATAACCCCTTTGCCACAAGACAACTATAGCCATCTTCCGATATTCAAGATGGTTAATAATTAGTTGAATCTTCTACTTATCAAAAACAAAAAAAAAAAGGTTGAATCTGGTTTCTATTTGGCTATTCTTTTAGATGCCTTGTCGAGTGAAGTACTTGAATTTAGTTTCATAACGTGAATATTTGAAATAGACCTAATTGGTTTACTCAAGTTATTTCTATTTTCTTTCAATTTCTACTAATGGATTGCGTTGCTTCTTTTTCCTCTTTATAATTTAAAGCATGGGTGATGTTTGATTACTCTTCTATGCCAATTAGTACATACGAACAGTTGAGCTGAGGAGCAGGGTGCTTGTTTTGGCATCTAATTAGGAGCATATGGCCGCATTGGGGGTGAAAATGCGTCTTTTATTTGCAAATTTCTTTATATCATGGCCACAAGAATCCTGCATTAATCCTGGCCTTTACTGTTGTGTTGTTATTATCCATGCTTTTTTTTTCTGGATTGATATTATAGTACATGTATTTATCTGCACTTGGTGGTGCTTGGGTCTGCAACCAAAATGATCTACAGGGAATCTAGTGTGAGAAGCTTGTGAGGATTAGCAAAGAGCCTGTACTTCTTTTAACATACAGCATTACAATACTATTCGTTTTTTTTTTTTCAATAAAAAAAAGAATATGTACTTTTCTTCTATCATCTTTGTCATTGTTGTCATCACCATTCACCATCATTATTTTTAGTGATAGTTGGGGATCTTGATGATATTTAGAGCTTCACAACATGTTGTGAGTTGTGACAAGTGAATGGGTGGGAAAGAGAGTTCCACCCTGGAGGATGTAAGGGTAAACAATTGAAACAAATGGATGAAGCTCTTATTGTGTAACGGTAGAAAGTTTTATGATTTCTAATTTGCTCAGCAAGCAGATTCTTTGGTTAGCGATTGTTCTGGGACATTTTATCGATTGTCAAGTGGACTTCACATTGGTTGTTTTAGGGGGTTATTTGCATTATTCATATATGTACTCATACACAAATATTTTGGTACCTCTCATTTCATGGCATGTTCTTCATCATTAATTTTCTGATGATGTTGTACAATACTTGAGGTGCCTAATCCCCTTTCCTTTGCTCTCTCTGAGTTGAATTCTTACCTTTTCTTTGTCGCATTAAAATCTATATGGCAGTATTACCTCCTATCCGGAATCCTAACAACCAGGCAAGAGGGACATTTGGGCGTGGGCGCTGGCATGGACACCAAAATGACAGAGGAGGATTTGGCATCCTGCCTCGTCCTGGACCTTATCACCAGAGACAGAACTATGGTTTCGGGTCTAGATTTAACAATGGGCGGCAAGATGAACGATTTGTTTCTGAGTTGAAGCTTTCTAAGAGTGAAGAAACTTTATCTAGGAAATGCATTCAAATTCAGGAGGTAATTGATGTCTCTTTTCTTTTACTGATAAAAAAACCCTTCCTTTCTTTTCAATGTATTAAGGATATCCATGGTGTCTATTATGTATCATATAGTTCCATTTATTGGTTGCTAACCAATAAATATTGCACGAGTCAGTGACATAACCACCTTTCAATGGGATGCACATCTCTTGCACACATATTAATTTGATTTGATTATCCGAACCATCTGCCCTTTATCATTATTTTGGATGGGCAGAGTGGGGGGGAGGGAGGGAGAAAGAGGAAGGTCCTTTATGATAGAACTTGGGGGCTTTAATTGTGTGTGTTTTATCTATTTATTTTTTGATAGTCATGTGTGCTTTATCCTTGTCATAATATGTCTGTATATGTGTCTTGTATTCTTGCATGCGCACTGTTGTATACACAAGTCATTTGATAGACCATCCTAGTGGACTACCAGTTGGTATATATCTGACAAAATTAACTGTTTTTTTTTTAATTTTCTAATAGCCTTGTGAAGTTGCTTGCTATAGTCGCATAGAAGGTGGAGATGTTTACTTTGATGACCGCAGTTTGGTAATCATTCCAATAACCCAATCTTGCTGTTCTTTTTTCACAACGTTTGGTAGTTCAATAGCGCACTCATTAACCCATATTTATCATACTTCTTGCTTCCTCATTATCAGAGGCTTTTTAAGCGTTTAATCACTGAAGATGTCGGAGCTGATTTGAATGAAGGATTTCAGTCTTTTATTGAGAAAAAAGGTAGATCTTATGTCCAAAGTATATTTATTTATTTTTTTAACCAAAGAACTCTTGGAGGAAAGTTATCTAGAAAGATACCTGTAGTTTGTGACTTTACTCCTCCTGGGCTTCTTGTATGAGGGCTGATTTATGCAGGTGACTCTGTGTTGTTCTCTCTAAATCAGAATTGGGCTCTCAGGGCTTTGGTGATCTTCTCAGTTGCATAAGAGACAAAAATATCCCACTTCAAAATATACATTTTGTGGTAAGTAATGTTCTAGTTCTTGCTGCATTTATAAAGAAAATAACTAATTTTATGTTTGCAAACTTATGGATTTATTTCTTTGCTTGTTCTTCAGACTTTCAGAAACAATCTTAATAAGGTATTGTCAACTTTCTTGCATTATATGAACTTCTGTCTTTCTTCTCTGTGTTACTGAAAGCAGAGAACTTTTATCTTCTCTTACAATTAGTGAACAATTTGCTGCTTTTGTTGCATCTGTAGATATTAGCTGCTGCCTATATCAGGAATGAGCCTTGGGAGATGGGGGTGCATAAGAGAAATGGAATTGTCTATCTTGATGTGCATAAGCTTCCTGAAAGGCCACAAAATGAGATAGATCGTCGGAGGTACCAATACATTTACTTCTTATTTGAAAAATCTGTTACTTGTAAATTAATGATAAATTAGAGCATTCCTAAGGTGATAGGATTAGCATTTTAGAAGATGAACAGATTAGGTGGTCAGAATGGATGAACTGGGACTTCGACCCTTTAGTGGTTCTGCTTGCTAGTTGACCTGAGGTGGTAATAGCACTTCACAGAATGTCCATTCTGTCTGGTTTGTTGAAAGAAATCTAAATCATGCCACATTTTAGAAATTCGTTTGGTTGCAACAAGAGCTAAAAGAAATAAATAATAAAAAACAATGGGGAAATAGATGTGGATGCCCCAATATTCTAAATAATCATAATGATGAAACTAAATTACCATAAAACAGCCATGCGGCTGTTTGTCATGTTGCCCATGCAATCTCATTCATCATGCAAATACTCCATTGGAAACACTACCTTTTTTGATAAATTCTCCCCTTCAAGCAGAAGTGAACAAGAAAATCAGAAAAAGAACACTCCCTAAATTTTTCTGGATCAATAGTGAAGAAATTTATTAAAGAGCCACCAGAACATAGGCAATCCATAATAACAATACTTGGCAAAGGTTTTCTTGAAAGGTAAAAAATGAATGGATTAGGGCTTAGAGTTGGAAAAACATATATAGAAAGTGGCAAAAAGGGTGGAAAAATATATTGTGAGCAGATCATTGAGCCATATTGGATTGTATTTCTTGCCTTCCAAGAAATTGGTTTTTCTATTAACAGACGGGCATGTATGGGGAAAGATTACCAAGAAATTGTTTTCTTTTTAGCTAAAAGATAACAGATTTCATTAATAAAAGAAAAGGTTACATGAGAGAATGTACAAAAGAGGCACTAAAAGTGACACAAACATAGATTACAAAGGCATAACTCTCTCACTATGTAAAAAATCCCTATGAGTTCCCGCTTTAGCCAAACTATCTGCTACAGAGTTTAACTCTCTGGGAATCCAGAACAGAATTGCATTCAAAGAGTCCAAGATATCCCAATTCCTCATCCAGATAATGAGCTAGCCTCCATGGTCTTCCAATCTTCTCCCCAAGCCATCTGATGGTATTGTTTGAATCACCTTTGATGATTAGGGAAGACAAGACAAGACCTCTTGCAATCCGGAGTCCAGTTAGCACTCCTAAAACTTCAGCCTTTGTAGAGTCTTCCATCCCGATTGGACCACCATAAGCCCACAGTAGATTTCCATCTTTTCCCTTAAACACACCCACAATCCCTGCTAGACAGGGCTCCCAAGGGCACTTCCATCAAAGTTCAAGGTCACTTCCTCTTCCAAACTTGAGTTAAGGGTTCTTGTCGCTTTTAGAGAGGAAGGAGAGGAAAAAAGAATCTCCACAATGTTTCTTCGGAGATCATTCAAAAAAACACCTTTGAATTCCTTCGAATTCAGCATCCATAAGTTGCACAAGTGGAGTATGTGGGATAACAGCTCGTCCATGGATCTAGCTTTGTTGTTGAATATTCGATTATTTCTCTCCTCCCACACCCCCCAATAAACTTTTTCCTTTTCCCCTCTTTCCAAGGCCTCTTCCTTGCCATTTCCAAAGGAAGTCTTCAATGTGTTTGGGAAAGAAACCAGCAATAACCTACCAGATTTAAGAAGTGCCAAACTTTCCTTGTTTCCGGGAAATGTAGGAGAAGGTGCTCAGCAGTCTCACTATTGTTAAAGCACAATATACAAATATGGGGGGAAATACACAGTCTACCTTTGTTTTTCTTCTGAAGTAAGTCACAAGTGTTTATTTTTTTCAAACAAGTCCCATATGAAGAAGGAAACTTTAGAAGGGATATGGGAGATCCAAATCCTTTTGGAAGGAAACCTAGGGTTGCTGACATCTGAAGTCAGGGACCTGAAAAAAGATTTGGTTGAGAATTTACCGGTTGGGTGACTTTTCCAAATTCTTTGGTCTATTTTTGAGGGGGACAGGTAGACCTCTCTTAAAGTTTGCTGCAGATCTACTAGTTCAACTATCTCTGCCTCCCTTAAGGGTCTTTTGAGACTTAGGTTCCAGTTAGGGGTGGTTGGGGAAACTTGGATAAAGGCTGCAACAGTGGCTTCTTGGGTTTGGGAAAGGTTATAAATGCAAGGACAAGAGTTGGCTAATATGCTGTCTCCCCATCAAAATTCAGTCCGGAATTTGATTTCTCCCCATTTCCTACTTTGTATCTAATGAAAGGAATAAAGACATCATAGATAGAGGAGATACCTTTCTAGGGATTGCTAGCTCTCATGTGGTTCAAGTGAATGCTGCTATCCCAACTGTTGGTGTCCTTGCCATACTTGCTGCTGATAACCTAAGTTTAGAGAGCACCAGATTCAAAAGGGAGTTGCCATAACCACTTTCCCAATAGAGCTGCATTCTTTTCTTTCACATGTCCTAGACCAAGACCCCCTTCTTCCTTAGATTTACACACTTGATCCCAGCTGGCTAAGTGGTTTTTCTTTCCTTCACCTCCATCCCATAAGAAATCCCGCTGAAGTTTCTCAATTTTATTTTAAACCCCTGTTGGAATTTGGAAGATTGAAAGAAAAAAAATTGTTAAGTTAGTCAAAGAAGTCCTGATTAAAGTGAGTTTACCTCCTTTTGAGAGAGAACTTTTCTTCCACGTGGCCAACCTTCTTTCACAATTCTCCACTACTGGATCCCAGAAATGTAAGACTCGGGTTCCCTTCCAGAGGCATTCCCAGATAAGAGATAGGAAAAATTTCCACATTGCAACCTAAAGTTTCCTTCAGGTTATTCATTAAGCTTTCACTAGTGTTTATTTCCACAAGGCTACTTTTGGAAAAATTAACTCGGAGACCTGAAACCATCTCAAAGCACTTGATTATTCTTTTTAAAGTGTTGATGCTTTCCGAAACAACCTCTAAGAATAAAGTTGTCATCAATGAAAAGCAAATGGTTCACTGGGATGAATTCCCTACCCACTTCAAACCCTCTCAGCAGGTTGAAACTAGCCGCCTTCTCAATGAAGTAACTTAGGACATCTACTACAAGTGTGAAAAGGAACAGGGATAAGGGGCAACCTTGTCTGAGACCCTGACTGGCCTGAAAGTAACCCCTAGGTTCTCTGTTTAGCAGTACCGAGAACCAAGCAGAGCTGATACAACCTTTCATCCACTTCACCCATCTTTCTCCAAATCCCCTTAGTGTCAAGATGTTTAAAAGACACTCCCAATCAGTTTTATCATACACCTTTTCCAATGCCAGCTTAACAACCACTCCAGATTTACCTAAATGTCTTCTTCAACACATTTGTTGGCCACCAAAATGCTGTCTATGATTTGCCTTCCTCTCAAAAAAGCATATTGGTTATTGGAGATTAGATCCCCCAACACCTCCCTTATTCTGCCTGCCAAAACTTCAGCTGGAATTTTGTAGATGCTTCCCACTAGGCTAATTAACCTGAACTCTTTGACTTCCAAGGAACCGTCCTTCTTGGGATTAGTGTGATGAACGTTCAGTTGTTACCTTTATTTTCTATGGCTGAGTTGGAGTCTGTAAAATCTTTCTTGACAATAAATCCGATTGAAATATGAGGAAGTAGAGAAGAGAGGGAAAGAAGAGAGAAAGGAGAAGGAAGAAAGGAAGAAGAAAAAGTTTGGAGCAATAGAACAGTGCTGGCGGTGCCAGTTTTTATTATATTATATAGGGCGGCAGAAATAAGAAGGGAAAAGACCCTTGTGCCCCTGCTGTAAGTGAGTACAATAACAAAAATAACAGAAATAAAAAAAACGCTTTAACTAGCCAAACAGACCCTAACAAAAATAACTAAATTATTTCAACACTCCCCCTCGAGTTGGAGCATAGATATCAATCATGCCCAACTTGTCACACAAATCATTGTGTCGCACATGATGAGGCCTTTGGTGAAGATATCTGCAAGTTGTTCTTCTGAGCTGACATATGGAGTACACACTTCTCCATTTACAAATTTCTCTCTAAGAAAATGCTTGTCCGCTTCAATGTGTTTCATCCTATCATGCATGACTGGATTAGCAGCAATATTGATGGCAACTTTATTGTCACAATAAAGTGACATAGGATTGCTCACTGCAAAACCCAGCTCACCTAATAGATTTCTTATCCACATGATTTCAGCAACCCCATGAGACATCGCTCTATATTCTGCTTCAGCACTAGATCTAGCCACCACACTTTGTTTTTTACTTCTCCATGTGACCAGGTTTCCTCCTACAAAGGCACAATACCCACTAGTAGACTTTCGGTCATCGACTACTCCTGCCCAGTCAACATTAGTATATACTTCCACCTTTAAGTGTCCATGTTTCTGGAACAACAAACCAGCTCCGGGAAACTTCTTGAGGTATCTAAGGATCCTCTCTACAGCTTCAAAGTGAGTTGTCCTAGGGTTGTGCATGAACTAACTAAGGACACCCACTGCATAAGCAATATCAGGCTTGGTCATAGACAAATACAAGAGTCTCCCTACGAGTCTCTGGAACTTCTTCACATCTTTCAAAAACTCTCCCTGACTGTCTCCCAGCTGATGATTAGATTCAATTGGTGAGTCAATTGGTTTTACTTCCAACTTTCCTGTATCTTCTAGTAGATCTAGTACATATTTCTGTTGGGAAATAAAGATGCTCTTGTGAGAGCAGGCAACTTCAATTCCAAGGAAATAATGTAAGGGGCCTAGATCTTTCACCTCAAATTGAGTGGCTAAGAACTTTTTAGTCTCCGTATTTCAGCCTCCCAATCTCCTATGATCACTATGTCATCCACATACACAATAAGGGCTGCAATTTCCCCTTCTCCTCTTTTCAAAAATAGAGTGTGATCTGACTGACATTGTTTGAACCCCATCTGTTGAACTGGTAAATGGAACTTACTAAACCAAGCTCGATGTGATTGTTTCAACCCATATAAAGATTTTTTTAACCGGCACACCTTTTGTTCATTGCTTTTGGCACAAAAACCTGGAGGTTGGGTCATGTACACTT